GAGAGTATATACTAGGCAGCAAAGTCAAAACTCAATCATTACTAACCTATACCGATCAATAACGATCGGATTTCAATCAATTTCGATCGACGACCTAGATCTAGATGTTTCCAATGGTCAATTTGACCATTGGCAGCATTTGAAAGGGGTTTTAACTTTCCTGCCCCTCTTTCAATCTCTTTCACTCTTACACTCTAACTTATTCTCACTCACATCTCACTCTTTCTCACATTTCATATTCTTCAACTCAAGCAAAGGTACAATTTGTGGATTACTCTAATTTAAGAGGTTTAAGCAAAATTCGCACAAGGAGCCAAAGGAACCAAAGATCGATCCCCTTCGACCTCCAATACTACAACGAAGATTCACAACTGATGTTGGAGTGGGTCGAAACAACAGAGAGCCAAGAGAATCCTTTACTTGATGAAGCGAGAGATCCTCCACGTCCTTCTCGTTTTATCATAGAGGGAAAAAAGAAAAGAACAACATCCCCCAATAGGAGGAAGATCCCCCTCAGTCAAAACATGGCAAAAGGAGCCGGACAATCTCAAGTCAGACTGCTCGAGGTCATGACACCCAACAATCACAATCGTTCGCTTAACGTGCAAAGGTAAAGGGGAAGACAGTAGCATCAGCCAAACCATTAGAAAGAATTGAGTCGACCAACAAGACACCTTCTCAATCACTTCAGCAACCCACTCGAATAATAAACATACCAACAACGTGTACAGCAATGCCTCGACCAACGATGATAACAGTGACGACAAGGAGTGGATGGTTTCACCTACTCAATTTCAAGGTGGTGCATGGAGTGACGAGCAGCATTTTATGCATGCCACACAAGATTCGAATCATAGAACTTGTGAAGGTAGTCATCATGTTTACACGAAAAGGAGAAGGGAAGATAGTCAATGATTTTGAGCAGATGCGACAGAGCCTATACGATGTAGACACAAAACGAAGTTCGTTGTATTCCTATTTCCTAGTCATCGTATTATGGAGACTCTTATGATCAACAAAAAATACGATGATAGTTGGTCATTCTCTTTTGAGGCTGATCGGTCTTATAATACGAAGTAGTAAGTCAATGGCAAAAATAGAAGTTCTGACGTTCTCCAACCTTCGCACCAATACATGTCATAATCATACTTGTCTTAGGAGCCATCTTGAACACATGTTTTATCAGGCTACAAATGTCACTACATTGATGCACCGGCCGGTCTATCAGCATACCATGTTGTGGGAGCAATTTTAGGATTGGATCTGACAAGCATACCCTACTGATACACAAATACATAGAATCAACGATCCCGATCCACCACCAATGGAGTCCTACATTCATTTTGGTGGTAGAACCAAGTATACCCATCGATCGATCCAATTTTTACTTGATTCATTGGAATCTTAAAGTTTCAACTTGTAATCTCACAACTCAAGTCATATCTTTGTAAATAATTCAATAATGGAAGAGCAACTCAGAACATGCCGCAAAGCTGCTCCTCGAAGCCCGAAAAAGATCTATCATTATCCCTTCATAATTTAGATGATTTTGTATGAAATTAAGCTAAACTTACATTTATTTCCAAATAAAAATCCCTAATCTATTATTTTTCTTAATCTTTAGGTTTTTTATTTTTTTGTGCCATCGACACACCGTACGGTACCGACACATAGTACGTCAGTATGAGGTGATACATGTCGTGTCACATGCCAATCGGCATAAGAAGTCGAACCTTGCTTTTGCTTACACATTGTGAGTATAAATTAAATGTATCAACAACCAAAACCTTCGTAAATAGTTAATATTAAAAACTTAAATAAAACAAAATTTAAAATTAATGCATAATTGAACTAAAAGCAAAAAAGAAAATAGCAAAAGTCAAACAAAATAATAAAATAAATATTAATAAAAAATAAATTTATAAAATTATTATATATAAAAGAGAACCAAAAACTAGTGGTAAAATAATAAAACATATAAACGATATTAAAAATCAAAAACAAAATGTTAGAAATTAAATAAAATAAAAAGTCTCTACAAATTCCGAAGATAATTGAACAAATAAAGGGAGGAGAAGAAAAAATACTAAATATTAATGTGTGTCACGTATTAACTCGTATGTACATATCAGC